TGACCTGAATACCCACTAGAAGAACCCTGAATAGCTGGTGGGCGATAAGAACTCTCTGGTATAGTACTGAGATAGGGTCACACTGGAGCACCTCAAGGAGGCGGTGGTGCTGGATATGGGGGCCTGCTGGACTGCCCTCTCACGAACTGACCTCTTCCCCCAGACGGAGCACCACTGAACTCTCCAGAATACCTAAACCCCTTATCTCCAGTAACCTGCTCTCAGCTATGCTGACGTACACCCTCAATCCTCCGGGCTATCTCCACAACTAGCTCATAAAAAGTACCCATCTCAACCTCTCGAGCCATAGTGGCCTGAATGCCAGTATGTAAACCCGCAACAAACATTTGCACTCTCTTCGTCTCAGTAGGGAGTATCATAAGTGCATGGCGAGATAACTCAGAAAACCTCGCCTCATAATCGGTCACTGATATCTGACCCTGTTGGAGCTGCTCAAACCGAAACCTCAACTCTTCCCTCTGGGAGGGTGGAATATACCTGTCCAGGAAGATACGGGTGAACCTGTCCCAAGTTATGGGAGGAGAATCTGTTGGTATGCCAAGAACATATGACTGCCACCATCTACGGGCTCTGCCCTCTATCTGAAAAGTAGCAAAGTATACCCCATGAGACTCCAATATCCCCATGTTGTACAGACTATCCTTGCACCGAACAATGAAATCATAGGGATCCTCATGTCGCTCACCCCTAAAAACAGGAGGATATAGTCTAGTCCATCTGTCCAATAGTTTCTGCGGATCAGCGGCTACAGCTGGCCTGGGCTCAAGTGCAGCTGCTACCACTGGCTGGGCTCCACCCACGGGTAGTGCACCCTAGGTCTGATATATAGCAGATGCTTGTCCATGAGCCTGTGCAGTAGGGGTTTGTGCTCCCCCGCCCGCCTGAGATGTGGCTGGGTCTTCCTGAAATAAACCGGCCTGAGTCATATTGTCCATGAACCGCAGCATACGACCCATGACATCCTAAAATCCCGGTGCAGATGTGAAATCCACCGGAGCTGGCTCTGCCACAAGCACCTCATCATGTTCCTCAATAATGGGGTTCTCTGCTGGACCCACTGGCGGCATAACTGGAACAGTCCTGGGATGTCCTCTCCCTCTACCACGGACCGGAGCCCTCCCTCGGCCTCTAGCAACTGGGGGAGTAGCTCTTCCCTGATCTGGAACCTCATTAGAGCGCGTTCTAACGATCTGTGAGAGAATAAAAGAAGGATATTTAGTACTACATTAATTGCACGATGGAATATGAAGAAAGGTAGTTTCTTAACACCCTATAGCCTCTCGAAGATAAGTACAGACGTCTCTGTACCGATCCGCAAGACTCTATTAGGTCTGCTCATAACTTGTGAAACCTACATGAACCTAGTGCTCTGATACCATGTTGTCACGATACAATTTCACCTATAGGTCGTGATGCCGCCCAACACTATAGCTAGGCAAGCCAACTAATAAATTAAACATATATCAATAAAATTCAAATTCAAGAAAAATAATAAGACACCAATTCTACCAAATGTGTGTGTGCCAAGACCTGGTGTCACAAGTGTATGAGCATTCTAGTAGATTATACAAAACCTCAAATACTGTCTAAAATAAAAATAGACAGAATGTAAATATAAGAAGGGACACTGGTAGCTGCAGAACGGCTCAGAAAGGCAGCTCGTCACTATGCCTCTGGATAACATGGGTGTAAGGCGATAGATCCCCCACTAGTACTTGCCTCAGATCCTGCACAAAAAGTGCAGCAAGTGTAGCATGAGTACGTAAACAACGTGTACCCAGTAAGTATCAAGCCTAATCTCGAAGTGGTAGAGACGAGATGGCCGACTTTGTCACTCACTAAGGGTCATCAATAATAATAATTGAGATAAAACTAGAATATTTAAATCAGCATGATACACAGAATTTACAATAATTTATTTAACTAGCGGAAATAATTAAATTTCTTCGAATGCAACAATTCTCAATATATTAATTAAATTCTTCAATTTCAATAAAACTTTCAATTTATCAAATAGCTTTACAAGCTGCAATTCAATTTCAATAAATTTTCAATTTATCAAATAGCTTTACAAGCTGCAATTCAATTTCAATAAATTTCCAACTTATCAAATAGCTTTACAAGCTGCAATAAACTGTCCAATATCGTGTAATTTTTATTATTATCAAGCACGATTTCTGCCGAGGTCGTACGACCCAATCCAGAGTTTCGTGTACACTGCCGAGGGACGTGCGGCACGATCCATAGATGCATCTATCCTGCCGAGGCGTTCGGCCCGCTCCATAAGAAAGGAAGACATTTTTTTCATGTACCTCCGGAATAAGAGTATATTTATTATAAGATAAATTCAGGAGGAAGAATAATTTCTCTTAACAATTAATTAATTTAAACATAAATTCAAGCATATGAGATTTTCATCCTTTAATATTTTTATCTAACAATTCACAACATATATATATAAATATATCAAATAATTTAATTAAGTAAAGACTACCATTTACACAAGTAATTCATGCTTTTGAGTCCTAAACTGCCCGGACTTTAGCATTAATAGTAGCTACGCACGGAATCCCGTCACCTCGTGCGTACGTAGCCCCTACAATTAGCAATAATTATTTAATTTAATCACCTATAGGGTAATTTCTCTCACAAGATTAGACAAGAGACTTGCCTCGTCTTGCTCCAATTTAATCCACTAATAGGCCTTTTCCTCGATTATCCAACTTCGATTGGCTCGAATCTAACCAAAAATAATTCGATACAATCACTAAAATTTATAGGAATCAATTCTATAAGAAAATACTACATTTTCAATAAAATTCTGAAATTTATTAAAAATTTGTCTGTGGGGCCCACATCTCAGAATCCGACGAAAGTTATGAAATCCGATAACTCATTCAATTACGAGTCCAACCATACTAGTTTCACTCAAATCTGACTCTGAATCGATACTGAAATCTCAAAAATTAGTTTCTATGAGATTTCTAAATTTTCCTAAATTTTAATTTCAAAGCACAAATTTATGGTGAAAACAATGATATACTTCTATATGTAGACCAAATCCGAATTAGAATCACTTACCCCCAATGTTTTTCCCTTGAAAATCTGTCAAAAGTCGCCTCTGCTCAAGCTCAAATTCGTCAAATATGGCAAATGGGACGAATGCCTTCTTTTATAAACTGCCCAGGCAGCCTTCGGAATTGGGCCTCGATTGTGGCCCTCGAGCCTGGGCTTCGGTCATGGCCTCGATCATGGCCTCGAGCCTGGGACTCGGTCATGGCCTCGATCATGGACTCGAGTCTGGTACTCGGTCATGGCATCGAGCATGTGCCTTCAATCGTGACCCTCAATCTTGGGTCTTGATCCTGGCCCTCAAGCCTTGCCTTCGATCATGGCCCTCGAGTTGGACCTTCGATCATGACCCTCGACCTGGACCTTCGATCGTGGCTTCGATACACAAGCTCGAGCCTGAGCCTCGTCAACCCTGGGCTCGATATCTGGGATCGATCACAGCCCAGAATATCCAACATAAGAGGAAAATTGCAGTAGCTTTTTAAGTCCAACTTTTGATCTGTTAACCATCCGAAACTCACCTGAGGCCCTCGGGACCTCAACCAAATATACCAACAAGTCCTAAAATATCATACGAACTTATTTGAAATCTCAAATCATATAAAACGACGCTAAAATCATGAATCATGCTCCAATTCAAGCTTAATAAAACTTAGAATTTCCAACTTCTACATTTGATGTCAAAACCTATCAAATCAAGTCCGATTAATCTCAAATTTTGCACACAAGTTATAAATGACATAACGGAGTTATGAAAATTTTTGGAACTGGATTCTGACTCCGATATCAAAAAGTCAACTCCCCGGTCAAACTTCCAAACTTTAAATTCCTATTTAAGTCATTTCAAGCCTAATTTAACTATGGATTTTCAAATAAAATTTCGAACACGCTCCTAAGTCCAAAATCACCATACGGAGCTGTTGGAATCGTCAAAATTCTATTCCGGGGTCGTTTTCTCAAAATGTTGACCGAAGTCAAACTTGGCCTTTTAAAGCCAACTTAAGGAACCAAGTGTTTCGATTTCAATCCAAACACTTCCAAATCCCGAACTAACCATTCCCGCAAGTCATAAATCATTAAAAGCACATACGAAAAATTTTATTTTAAGGAACGGAATTCTAAAAGTTAAAATGCCCGATTGGGTCATTACATTATGCATATATAAAAATTGATCGTTCAACAAACATGTAGGACTCCCATAAAATAATAGGCATTGTGAAATTAAGTGTAAGAAATACTCTACCTTTCTAAGGGGTCCTATATGCTCAAATCCATCTAAAAAGCACAAAGACGGGTATTAGTGATGAAAGAAATTAATATGAAGTGACAAGTGTCGGTGAACGACCGGCGATGCGATATAGGTAATTTGAAGCTTATACTAGTTATACAAAATGCAAGGACGGATCAATGTGTTACTTGTTATGAGTTCACATGAACGGATTAACCCACTAGTTTTTGTTCAAAAAAAATTTACAAAATTATCAATAAATATTTGACAGTAAACTCTAATATCATTATAATCTTAATTTGAAGTCATTAAATCCTGAATCCATCTCAGGCTAAATCGGCATGGACATGGAAATTAGCATGCAAACGTTCACGCTGAAATGTCTTACGGTTATGCACGCGGTTAGAATCCTATACTGGTTGAAGGTATGAAGTGTCGTCTATATATATGATAATATTGAACAATACTCAGCTCCGACTTTTTTACTTGAACTATGTTCGAGGTTCATTTTCTCAATACATGCTTAAGTGAAACAAAATAGTAAGTATTTGTATACTTTCCAAACAACAATTAAACAAAATATCCTTTTTTAAAAAACTTGAATTTCACATATGAAACCAACATGGGATACGCATAACAGTACCTGAAAACATTCAATGGTGTGTCTAACAAAGTATCATCAAGCAATAAGATTTTACTATACCAAAAACACTCTGCAATATCTTTTACATCATGTAACAGAACAGATGTCCTGACCAAAATATTTCATGACAAAAACAATAAAGAAACATAGAAAACTAAATATTCTGACCTCTAAACCTATAAAAGAACGATTCAAATGAACTATACCTTATCTATACACATTATAACCGACGAATAACTTATTTTCTTAAATATACATAAGCTCGTAAGAACTCGGAAATTTAGAGGAAAAACTGTCAAACTTAACTGCTCAAACACATCCAACTTCAAGTTTTTCGCCGTTAACCTCAGCGAAACTGTGGAAACACGTCTTAGCTCGAACATGTTATCTTCTTTTCAGTTGCTTTTAGGATACCATCACCTGTTTTTCAATGCTTGCGTCAACTTTGTTGATTCCTTTCTCTGCAGTCAATTTATCAGCTGCTTCGTACGATAGCTTTCGAGGCTTTATAGTGCGTTTCTGATTAGCAAAAGTTGATTTAACAAAAACTGGTGTTTTTATTGTTTGAGTTTTGTAACTTTTAGGAGTCGTCCTTGCTATCTTATTGGCCATTCTTGGAGTTGATTGAACAGGAATTCGGCATTCCCACGGACGAGCAGCAATCCAGCGATCCGTCCAGCTCCAGCCCCAGTTAGCTTTGCTGATATCATGATTACTTGATCTGAATATTGGGTTGGAATTGGCCCTCCACTGTGAAATAATATGTCAATCAGTGATGACTCTTGTTTTGGAATGACAATATAAATGGTATATAATCTAGAGAATCATATCAACATTAACATGCCTGATGAGAAAATGCATATGCCATAGTTCGCTCCCGCTTCACTGCTGCTTCTTCTCTCTGGTGTATTCTTGCTAGAACTACTTCCATTGTTTCAGGGCCACCACTCCACTCTGCCTGTCAGCCACTCACTCATGTTAGAGAAATAACGAAAATTTAGTACCGATCTGTCACATTTCTTTTTAAGTGACACTTTCATTTTTAGTGTGTCCCCAAAAATCGACACATTTTTATATTTAGAAAAAATTTAACTTTAAACTTCTCGTTTTACTCTTAATGAGATGATTTATAGTCATACAAATACTTATGGCTTCTTTAAGACACAAGTTGTAAAAATCTTTCTTTCTTTCTTAAACACTGCAATGCGCCTAGTCGAACACCATGACATAAAATGGGAGGGAGGGAGTACTGCATAATTCAGGGCTAAGTCTATGCAAAAAACTTGTTAAGGTAAACTACTCAAATGTTAGAACCCTTTGAGTGGCAAATCTAATTAACATGAGTTGAAATCCACTTCTTCCACTGCTGTCCTTTTCTATTGTCATGGAATACTTGCTAAATGTACATATGAATTTATGCAAGTTTTTGGCTTCCTTTGCCACTTTCACTTTCTACTTTTTGCTTCACATAATATCCAAGAAACAAAAAGATAAAATTATAGTATGATTCCTAATCCTTTGCAATAATTTGTTTTTCAGGTAAATTGGGATTCTCAATATCTTGACAGAGAAAGAATATAAGCGACTACTTTGCCATTAAAGAACCATGGTTGTCATGTGTTTTAGATAGTTCACTAGGTGTGAACCAAATGCAAAATGAATTAAATTAGAAGATGCGTAAAGTTCATATGTCTAAGCTTCTAATGTTAGATCTCTGACAAACTGATTCAAACTATGTTACGCGGACTCTCCAAAATGCTGACGTACCCTTATCGGATCCTCCAAAAATACACTACTTTTGGAGGATCCGACACACACCTGGAGATATTTTCGGAGAGTCCGAGCAACATACGATTCAAATATATTATCATTATCATACACATACTACTTAGACTGTTTTTCTGATTCTTTTTATATTTTTTACTATTAACCAATTTCCATGCATCTTATCTTCATGTAAGAAAGACTAATCACAGGTAATTGTGTAGTTAACTCAAAAAAAAGTTTCAGAAACTTGGGAAACATTTAAATGATCCAACTCAAAGCTAAATAAAGTTCATAGGAAATATCTTTTTTAGGGTGAATAGAATTGGTACTAGCTAAAGATCATAACCAAAAAAAAAAAAGACTCTTGAGAGCAAAAGAGAAACTAGCAAATACAGGTTTCAAGGCTTCAATAACTTATGATATAAAGCTACTATGAAAGCAGTAACTTAAGAAAACAGCTAAATTCTAACCTCTACGTTATGAAGCTTTGCCTCAAGCTTCAATTGATTCTCCACCTTCTTCTGCTTAAGACGCCCTTCTATTACCATACTAACACGGCGAGCTCTAATCTCAGTTTGTATCCTGTTCCATGACTGAAGATTGCTCAAAGTTGCTGAAGCTTGTTTTTTCACTGATGAGCCTTGTGTCATAGACTGTAATCTTGCTATTCCTTTCAAGCAACGTAAAGTTTTCCTTGCCTGAAAAGGAAGAAAAAATCTATTCAACTTAAAGAAAAGAGTAAGTAGCAATTTCTTTGGAAGATTTGAAAATAAACCTATCTTGCAAGATAACACAAATAGAAACCAATATAAAGTTTGAAGGGATACATTCAGAACAATAACAACAAGAAGTACATTTCAATCCCAAACTAGTCGTGATTGGCTATATGAATACTCAATATCCATCCCACTGCATTGAACAATACATTCGTCTCTTTATCTAGGGAAAAAAATTCAAATATATGCAGCATTTTTTGGAAGGAGAACCTTGGCGTAACTGGTAAAGATGTTGTCATGTGACCAGGAGGTCACGAGTTCGAGCCATAGAAACAGTCTCTTGCAGAAATGTAGGGTAAGGCTGCATACAATAGACCCTTGTGGTTCGGCCCTTCGTCGGACCCCGCGCATAGCGGGAGATTAGTGCACCGGGCTGCCCTATATGCAGCATTTTTTCAAGTAGATTCATTCCCGGTCTAAGGGTCTATAGCTTCAGGTTTTGAGTCATCCAACATCAATGCTTTCTTTTCACTAATAGATCAACTGATCAACAACTATTCTTAATACAAATGGACAAATTCTCTGTTTTCCTTCAAGAGTGTAATCCTACTTTACAATATGGTAAAATTGTTTTGGTATGAACTGCATCATTTAATTTTCCCATTCCTACATTTTCTTTATTTTTTTCTGGTTGATCAGGTGGCGACAAACGACAAACTTAAGCTGTGACACACCTACTGAAAAGATATAAATAAAAAAGGAACAAATATCAATTGCCTGAGTATGTTCTTCCGTAATTGGATTATGTCCTAAAAATATGTTGATTTTCAAGGAAAATACATCAGCAGAGAAATTCACTTTAAGAAAATATAGTCTTATTAAGAAGGAAATCATGAAACAACATCTATTTTCTTTAATCTTAATACAACACTGTGAGTTTACCACATATGCGCGGAAAGCTGTCTGAATCTTTGTGGCCGCTTTATCCTCAAGAGGCATTTCCAGTTCCCTGTGATTTTTTATAGAAGCACCACTTGATCTCCTTGACGGCTCTTTCTGAGAGTTGTCGTCCCCCGTGCGTCCAATAGAAGTTCCCTGTCTCAAGAAAAAACTACGAATCTCATTGATCTTGTCTAGTTAAAGGAGAAATTTTGATACAAGTAACAACTAGGGAAGCTTACCTTTAATCTTTTCGATCTGCCATCTTTTGCTTTCCTCAAACTGATAACATTTTTAAGACAGTATCCAGAACCCATTGCAGATGCTTGTTATATATATCTTACTCTGCAGGGCGAAAGAGCATTAGTTATGAAGTTTGTAACTTTTTCATATGCCACATGCCCACATCTAATATATACTTGAATCAGAGGATAGAAGACAATGAATATATTTCAAATGATTGTGCATCAGGAAGGAGATTTGGACTTTCAAATACAACTTTTACACATGGAAATGTGACTTGAACCAAAAAAATTGAAAATTAAGTAGTCGGCAACTCTCAGCTGTATGCAGTTATTTACTTTGATTTGTTTTACTTTTACTTCTCACTTTGGTTAGGCAGGATGGTGGGAGATTTAGTAGGATTATACTCTCTCAAGGAAGGTACAAATGGAGCGAAATGGATAGTGAGGATTTATATAAGCGACCTCAAGTAGCTTGGAACTCAAGCGCAGTTGTTATTGTACACTCTCCACAATGACAATACCAACTGGAAGAAGTTTTTGCCATGTCTGATCATCTCTTCCAAAAATCAAGCTGTATATTCGCAGATCCATTGTTTTCAATCACTACGCTGAACAACCTAAGTCAAAGTTCTGCAATATAATCTATCCAGCATAAAAAAAGGGGCAGCTCGGTACACTAAGCTCCCGCTATGCGCGGGGTCCAGGGAAGGGCCGGACCACAGGGGTCTATTGTACGTATCTTTACCCTGCATTTCTGCAACAGGTTGTTTCTACAGCTCGAACCCGTGACCTCCTTCTCACATGGCAACAACTTTACCAGTTACGTCAAGGCTCCCCTCCGGAGGCTATCCAGCCTAGCACATGTTATATTATAGGGAAGCAAATTATTTTCCTCGAATTTTTCATCATAATCAAATTTTCAATTGATAGATTATACAGCACATTAATCAAAATAATACTTAATGATCCGACACCTTGCATCTATCATCACAAAAGTAAGTACTTAACACATTAGCTACTTCTTAATGAAACTCTTATGCTAGCAACTAGCAAAAGATGGTCTTAGAAACACTGACTGTCAAGCAAATGCAAAGATGATTGTCCAACCACAATAGGAATAACCTCTCAAATTCCGCAATGTCCGGTTCTGTAGTAGAAATCACCTCATATACACAGCACTCCATATCCTAGGCACGAAGCTCCTCGTACGCGAAACTTATATAACTATGTAACAATATCTAACTGGCTCAGATCTATTCATAGTTATCAGAATAAGTGTATCCTCGCACTCACAGGCCTTCTATTTGAAATTAATTATTCCCTTGCAAATCATAGATGACTGAGAGGCAACACTAAAGGTGCCTTAAACTGTATTTCAGAAAATTTCATCAAACATTGCTTAATATCTATCTACAGTCTTATCCATGATCTAACAAGCATTACTCCATATAGGTAGTAAAAGACTCCGTAAGCAGAGACAGATCCAAGTATGAATATCGCTGCACCCAGTGGCAGAGCTAGGACTACATACAATAGAGATTCAAAAAATAAATACTAGAAATAGGATTTGAACACGTAATCTAAAGCAACTTTTGAACTCCTTTTGCCAGTACACTAGAATATTCCCTTATGCCAAGCGGACTCAAGATTTTTTTAAAAGGGCAATCCGGTGTACAAAGCATCCCACATTCACACAAGATCCGGGGAAAGGCCACACCCTAAGGGGTGTGATATAGACAACTTATTCTAATGCAAGTATTAGTGGCTGCTTCCACGGCTCGAACCCCTGACCTATGGGTCATACGGAGACAACTTTACCATTACTCCAAAGCTCCCGTTCAAGGATTCAAGATTTTATACATATAACAAAAAAGAAACTCATTTTTCCCTACTTGAGCAGTATAATTTTCCGCGAAGGAAATTCAATTGAACCCCTCACCATTCACCAACACCTAGCTCTCTGACTGCACCCACTACTTTTTTAGGAGAAAAGGTCGAATTTGTATAAACATATAATTTTAAGAATTTCTTAACTATACACACATATATAGAATTTGAACTAATCGTGGTTCAATCCCACCCGTTGCCAACTATATAAATCCGCCCCCGAGTCTAAAAAAAAAGAGAAGAAAACTTCTGCAGAGCTAATAATCCAATCAGCTAAACACTACTGTTGATTTCATCAACACACAGATAAGGCATTTCTCTTAGAATTTTGGTCAAACAAAGAGTACCCCGATATATATTTACACCAGAAACAAACAAGAACAGATAAAAATACAAACTCGAAACGTATTACTACTACTATTATTACAACAACAATTACTACGCCTCAGTCCCAAACAAGTCGGAATTAGCTATATGAATTCTCACAGTTTATGTTTCTGTGTTTAAGGTCAACTCATATCATTATTACACCAAATAAAAACAAAAGTGAAAAATAAGTTCTCTATGTTTTCACCGGCATATAAATCTATGATAAGGTACAACATAGGAAATAATTAAATTGTGTGTAAAAGAACATACCACAGAGCAAACTTTGACATGTAATAGTAGCAACAACCCTTGTTATCAAATGGGTAATCTTGAAAATACAAAAGAAAACTGAGTGAGAAAAGAGAGTAGTAATGATAGTAATAGCAGTTGTAAAATAGTATCAGTGGAAGAGAAGAAATACTTGAGAAATGTGTGTGTATGTATGCGGGGGGGGGGGGGTATTATACATTTTCTCAA